GCAGAACCAATACAAACGATAATTAACCAATCCATTCTATTTCAATCTATCCCACTAAAGTTTTTTTGCGCAATGAGTCTTTATAAGTGTTAAGTTAGATCCGGATAGTCTTCTTGATCTGGGGCTGCCAAGGTGACACTTTGACAAGAATGTCTTCCAGCTCTGATGATGTACATCGAATGACAAACGAAAGGTTGGCTCGTTTTCGCCCTAAACGTGGGAGGATGGCTCGGATTCAACCCAAACGGATGCAGAACAACGGCAATCAGCCATCTTCTTCTGGTCAGATCGACCTTTGAATCTCTTCTTCATGCACTTTCATGCGGAGTGAAAGTCTCTTCAATAATCTATTCAAGTTATCAAGATAATTTTCTAGCGTTGTCATTATTCAATGAAACATCTAGGAATGCATCAGGTACACGATCCGAACCTAGGAAGGATCATAAGACTTCGGAAAAGGTGCTTTCATCTTGCAACAGCGTGATCAAGCCAATGGGATTTTTATTTAACTCGAAATACTACTGATTTTAAAGTAAGTAGACAATTTGTAGTTGCGAGTTATCAGATGTCGGATTGTCGTCTCTTAGGGGTCAGATAAAAGTTGACGCGGGGTGTGTAGATGAGAATGATGTTTTCTGAATGTTTGTCGAAAGTGAATAGCAAAATGGCAAAAATCGCTACTCCTTTTCGGTCCACCGAGGACACATTCACCTTCAAACCAATGCAATTAATGTTCATTTCGTGGAGTACTCCCACCAGGTAGATATAGTGAAGCAACTCTAAAAGCCCAACAGTAATGCTATTCTGTCCGGTGAGGACGGTAAGACCGAGGACGAATGTTAGACGTCCGACGCTTGTACCTAACCCATGCGAGCCCAATGAATCCGTCGGAACGAGAAAGCATGCCTTGACAGAAAAGGAATATACAGTCACAACCTCAAGACAACTAACCTTCAGCTTTTGCTGGGGCCACTTTGTAAATCCTCACCTCACTCCGTTTTCAACGAAGTGGAAGGTACAACTTGAGTTATACGATTGGACGGAGCCCTATCGTCTACTGGCAGGCAATTTTGCTGTAGCCAAGGCTCATCTTGCGCACGAATCCACGATGGTTCCCAGTCACTCTTGACCGAGTCAGTTTAGGGTCTGTATTTTCTCGGCATTGTCTTGCAGTTCTTATTAAGGTCAAATAAGAGTCTTTAAATGCGTATTTCTCTCCAAAGTCTTGACACTTCTGCCAGATCAGCCGACTTGGGACAGCGCGAAACCGCCTATCTCCATGTGGGTGTTTGTGTGCACGAGTTCGTGTGTGCATGTATGCTCTGTTGCGTTGCGCTGTGCACGTCATGTCACACATCAGCACGCAAACAGTACAGGCCACAGGCTGGCGGTTTGTGTGAAATATCCTGCCAAAACTGGTATTTTCCTGAATAAGCAAAGACCAGTTCGCCACACCTCGATGTACCGTCTGTATCAGAAGTTGCGAGAGAGTCCAGGACTATCGGCAGTCTTGTATGGACCGAGGGCCTGGCGATACAGCGGAGTGGGGGAGGAGCATGTGAAAAGGGGGCAAGTTGGCACTGAAATAAGCGGATGGTCATGTCTTGTGGAGTCGGAGCCGCTGGTGTCATCCGGAGCAGAGACACACGATCCGTCTCGTCCTGACACTACTGACAGTGTGTAAATGTGTGTGTGGGGTGGGGTGGGGGGAGAGGGGGAGGCGGTTGTGTGTATCTGAGTTTGTGTGAATCCGCATTTGTCATGATATGGAAGTTAAGTCTTGCTTTCCGTTGGCTGGACTCATCGGCCCACTTACCTCACCAAAATTACTGTAACCATCTTGGACCAGACTTCTGTCAAACTCTCACGACTGGAAAATTCACACCAGATTTGAACAACTCACTTTTGACTGTTGCCCAGTTGTCTCGATAATCGGGTCATTTCATATCGTTTCCTGCCTAGGCAGGACTGTGTACAGACCCGTTTGAGCAGACAGGCTCAATATCTCTGTTTGACCTGACGTAGGTAGTGAAACAGGCTGAATTAATTATGCAATAAATTGCATATTTCTAGTGAATAGTTTTCTATTCTTTTTCGTCCACATGTGGTCGAGTAAGGTTCAGTATGACAGTGTTTTCGAACTGTGTACATTGGAGGTGGAAAATGTGTACAAAACTGCATATATTCGCCGTTGAACAGAGGCAGAAAGATGGCCACAACAATTATCTCGTTAGCACTTGTCCATCTCGGCTTATGAAGCATTCTTGGCATGGATTCGGGCGGATTGCGCCATCCAAGACGCTAGAGAAGCTCACGTCCATTTCGAGGTCAAGGCGTACGAAGGTGGATCCCAGCAAAAGACAACGAAAGATTCCAAACGGCCAGCTCTTGGTTGGATTTACTGGAACATTCCTTATTTTGCGCTATCTCCGAGGGAATCGTCTTTGATTGCTTTGAATACATGACAAACTTTTGTTCGTTTATAAGTAGATTTTCAAGGTCATAAATATGAGATGCTTTCAACCTATTTCGTTAAGATGATGTAGGAGTGGTAGTTGAATTTGCCACAATAACATGAGTAGACCTTACGCTTCCATGGAATGTCAAGAAATGAGCAAATTGATACAGACATACGGCAGGTGGAAGGGATTCGTTGATTGGTCTCGACCTTCTTGGTGTAGTGTTATTGGCGGTTGTTCGTGAATGCTGGTCTCTGGCTCTGAAGATGTCCGTGACATGACGGACGATGGCTCAGCGCGAGGTCATCGGAGACGGTCTTCTTTGCACAATTCAACAGACAAAAGTACAAGGCAACCCTCCTTCGGTATCCAATGAGGCCTGCTCAAACGAGGTGAAATATAGGCCAGTATCAATCTACTAATGGAAACTTCGAAAGCCGAATTCTCTTCTTATCTGACAAATAAGTAATGTCGTCGAGTGTCCAGGCAAATATAGGTTTATGAGATGTATTCACCCAAGCTAGTTTGAGGTGATGAAGTACTGGTAGAAGAATTTTCCCACAATGATATGAGTTGAGCTGACGTTTCCATTCAATTTCACATTGCCATGCCTTCCCAAAAGTTGTTCTCATCCCGGCTGGAGCGGACTGCAGTTTCGACCTTGTATCGGTCTTATCAACACCCCCAGCGGGAATCGAACCGCGACAGTGGAAAATGTGATATGCGAAAATTCGACTACCAGTCCTTCATCACCTTAAACGAAATAGTGTGAAGTCATCTCATACTACTGATTTACTGGTAGTCTCGAAACTGTACTTAAATACGAAAAAAAATATATAGCATACTTAACTTAAAGCTATAATCACCCAATTTCGTTTAAGGTGATGAAGGACTGGTAGAAGAATTTTCCTGCAATAATATGAATAGAGCTGGCGTTTCCATCGAATTTCACATAGCCTTGCTTTCTCAAAAGTTGTTCTCAACCAG